AGAATTGGGGTTTATGCATACATAATTTGATTATTCAGAAATGAGTTATATATAATAATAAAAATAAATCTTCTGAAGTAAAATAGGGCATAACTCTCCAGATAATGCTATCAAAATATATTAAAAAAAATCAAACGCCACTACACTATAACGCCAAAATCTACCGCATTAGAGGTGATTTTCGATGAAATCTGACAAAATTCAGAGTGCAAACTTTTTAAATATTAATAGCATTTACTTAATTGACTTAAACAGAATTAGTCTACACTTCATTTAATGATTTCATTTTATACTGCTAATACTTTAAGGTGTCCTATGAGACCGTTGGGTTTATAGAGGATCATAGAAGACATATAAGATGAAATGGAGAAGTCATTTCTACCATGGGTATAGCTGTAAAACAGCTAATATAAGTATTTATAAGTATTTATACATATATATACATATATATATATATATATATATATTTATATATATATATTTACATAAAACATTTACTGTATTTCACACGTAGCCCGACGTCGTCTAATCCAATCGTTTCGTAGCTCCGTTTCCGTTGTAATTTCTCATTCTGGCCTGTGTTTCCGTTTTCACTTATACTTCTGCATTTTTTTTTTTTTTTTTTTTTTTTTTTTTTGAACCAGCTAATAACTTCTTCCAACTCAATTTCTTTATTTATTTTTTTCTTTTTTTGGAACCAGCTAATAACTTCTTCCAGCTCAATTTGCAACTTTAAGTCACAGCTTAAGACCTATTTGCTGTCTGGTGGTTATTCACATGCGTTGCGCCTTTTATCTTGCTTGGAATTGGCGCCATATAAATTCGAGATATTATTATTGTTATTATTATTATTATTATTATTATTATTATTATTATTATTATTATTATTATCATTATCATTATCATTATCATTATTATTATTATTATTATTATTATTATTATTATTATTATTATGTTATATATGCGCGGCCTACAATTCATGTGAATATTTATCGAATGTTCAAATATTTTAGGTGCATAGGAAACCATAAACTTTATTTTACTGAATCTATATACGTTTTGTAAATATTGTTCAATTATAGTAAACTAATAGTTAAAAATTAAACGCTTTGTCACAATGCTGTTATCGATTACGTGGTGCGCCATAAGAGACATGGTGAGTAGAGAATTATACAAAACACATGAGTGAAAAGAGAATTTTGAACTTTACTACATATTAGTTACTTCATAAATTACGAATAAATTTTATCATAATTTATTGATGTTTTGATAAAAAAAATTTAAAAAAAGGATCGACGTATCGGGTCCATCGTGGAAGTATTCTCTAGATCAGCTTTCCGAAAACTTATTACTTCACGGCCTATTTACGATTCCGGGCACCAAGCCGCGGCCCAGCAGCCCAGTCGCGCCAGGGACCAACATACCAAATCCTGGCAAAACTTTTGACGTGAAGCCTCCATGATAATGCAATATTTTGACATCACTATCTGTTCTCTCAGCGACAAAATTTCATTGTATACAAATTAAATAGTATTTTATTAAATAAGAAATACCGTACATTTGTTTTTCCCCCGACAACTGTTGATTGTTTTTCTACCATGATTTCAACCATACACACGTCACTAGCTTTCTCCTTCTTCCAAAAACATTCACGCACACTCAGCCACTCCGTTTACTAATAAAGTATCCACATGGGGATTCGGTTATCGGGAAAAGTTTGGTGTTGTTTACTGTAGTGACTTTCAATTGAACTTTCTAGGACAGGTCTTATATTCATTTTTATCTTTAGCTCATGACTCATCCCATTATTCCTCTATACCAGATTTACTTGATCTCAGTGTTAACTGCTAGACGATAACATAGTGTCTAGCCCCCAAGGGGTCTTAGACACAGAAATGCTTATAACTCAAACAACACGCATCATCTGGCACTTTAGCAGCGTGTAAAAACTGCTCATTCGCTGTAACAATGAAGCGGCTTTATTAAAACTATTTTCTCTAGGATGATATCTTTGTTATTACTTTTTTTTTCAATTTCTCAGACGGCTTCGCGGCCCTCCAAAAATGTTTCTTTGCCCAAATTTGGGCCGCGGCCCATAGTTTGCGGAACGTCGCTCTAGATCAATAGAAGAAATATAAAACATAAAGTAGAAACAACAGCGTTTTATGCTTTATGTGTTCTTTCTTTTTTTGATCCGTTTTGTCAATAAATTTATTTTTTACATTTAAATGCATATAGCAAAAGCCTGTTGATTCGTATTCTATTGTTGCTAATAATTTCATTCTGAGAACCATTTTTTGTTGAAATTTATTAATATATTTTGTTTAGTTTATTGATCAATTTTTTTTTTTTAGATTACTGAAAAGTTTTTGAAATACACATTTTTACTTTTTTATAAGCATAATTGATTGCGGCATTAACAAATATTTAAAATTAGTTGAGCAATATATTATATCCAAATTATGGGAACAATTATTGCAAGTGTATTGACTTAAATTTATTTAAAGTTATCAACTGTATTTTTTTTTAAATGCTCGGATCATTTGAACATAGTGTTATAATAATAAAATGTAGCTTTCTTGCCATATTAGTTAGTAACGATGACGCGGCATACCCGTAAGAGATCAGTTGAGTTACTCATTGATGCGAAAAACTCATTTTTGCCACCAAAGTGGATTTTCAATACGTGTTGAGTTTCCATGCCTTTCAAAATATGCAAAATAAATTCTTGGGAAAATCCAATCCTGGTAGCGTTTTTCTCAAATTTCTAGAATACAAGGCCCTTAAACTAGATTCACATTAGAGCACATTATACGCGTTGACGTTAGCGCAGACAATTTACGAATTTACGCGTACAATCTACTGTTAAATAACGATCTTGTTTAATAGGAATATTGCCATTTTCTTGAAATTGTTTAACTTTTATTTATTAATAATATTTTTAAAACCAAGAACATTTTACTGAAAAGTATTTTATTCTAAATCAGAAATAATATTTGATTACAAAGTTAGCATCTGTTGATTTGTATTTTACTGATGCTATTAAGTTCAGTGAGAAGTTCCTTTTAGTTAAATTTATTAATATATTTATTCATTAAACAAATATATTGTATTTTTGTGGATTACGGACAAGTTTTTTTTATACCTGTGTGTGACAATAGCAAAGTTTGTCGTGAAGACCTCTCCTGAAATATCCATATTTTCATTTTTTTGTTGTAGGCATAATTGGTTTCCCTGTTAAGGATTTTTTTTTAATTAGTTGAACAATATATCATATAAAAATCATTAGATAATTATTCCAAGTTTATTTAAAGCCATTAAATCTATTCTAATAGATGCTGATAACTTTCAATTATTTGCAAATACTGTACTGTTTAATCGAATCCTCTAATTATTCTCGAATTTTTGTTGTTTTGTGCGGCATATATTGTTGATAGGTGAATGGAAGTGACTTTTAACATAAATATTAGGTTTTTTATATTATTATGTAATAATTATATTATTATATTATGTAAGTCATTTAACCAAACAATTTTATTTGTTCCTTTGTATCAGATTTCATCTTACATAGAGTTAATTGATATTCTATGCTACATTATTGTTATTAACACACAATAAATTATATTTCAAACACCGACAATTACTACGACAACATAAAACAAAAGACTAGATTTGTAGCAAGGTTAGAGAGCTTTTAATGGAACTACGGTAAATAATACTAGCACGTTACAATGCAATGTAAATTTTAAATGCCTCCATTAACATTAATAATAATAATCATTATTATTATGCCTATGGTATTATGTATTTAAATGTTGAGGTCAATTAAATAAACACATGATGAGAATGATAATAATGATGATAATGAGAGTGATATTATTAATGATTTATCAAAGTTGACACCTACATTTAGGACCTACATAAATTCGACACCTTATGGAACGAACTGTCTAAAAAGGGAAACGTTTGTAGTTAACTGTTAACTAATAGTAACAGGCCTACATATTATTTATATAATGCTACACGACATTCATCAATAATAATAATAGCAACAACATAAGTTAACTAATAGCATTAGGCCTACATAGTATTCATATAATGCTGCACGATATTCATAAAGCAACAACAACATTGTTAACTAATAGTAAGGCCTACATATTATTTATATAATGCTGCACGACATTTATCAATATTAACAGCAACAACATAAGTCATCTAATAGCAATAGGCCTACATATTATGAAAATAAGTCTGAACGACATTCATCAATATTAATAGCAACAACATAAAATAATATAAATATTTAAATGGGTCAAATACTGTATAATACTATAGTGTAGAAGAAGTATAAAAAAGTGCTGCAGTCAAAGAAACATATTAACATAGTTATGAATGAATATGACAGAAAATCATTTTAAAAAATAATTTTGAAGTTATCTTGTTCATTTTGCTGTAACATACACATTTTTAACTAAAGCATAACAATTATTAGATTTAAAAGATGTGCACCCTGATTTTTTCGCTGTAAAATTATTGGTAAATATTTTTTTAATAAACTCATTTGGACAGATGAAAGTGCGTTATTGAAAAGTGCAACATCTAATCCACTTCGCCACGAGCAACGACTGTGGAATGGCGCCATATAAATGGAACAATTTGATATTTTTATTTGATATTCAAGTTGATTATTTTCATGTTATAGCACTTCAAAACGAACAATTTAATTTCAAATAAGACTTTTATGAATATTTTGTATTTTACACTTTACTAATTTATATGTTTATATTCTGAATTAGGCTACAAGGAATAGGCCTATACTAGCCTTACAATTTACGATTATATGAACACAATATTATTATTAATGTTATACTGATTTATATTTTAAACGCATACCAGTTATCAACGGAAAACCTACTTGATTTAATTTTACAAGATAACTATTACATTTAATCTAATCTGGATATAGAAGTGTTATCGGTTTTAAATTATCTTTTCTAGGCTTTTTTTGGTGCAGTGGTGGAGCTTGTTGGCTAAACATATATTGATGAGGTGCAAAGTAGGCGAGTAGTTAGCAGTGTAATACAAGGAGGGTGCGAGTAAAATTTAGTTTCATAATTCTCCTCTACAGGAAGGTAAAATTTGTGTCTTGACATGAAGGTGGAATTTGTGCCTGGACTGTATAGCTTTCAAATAGGATGCATGCAATCTTCCTCTTCCACGATCTCATCAAATCTGAAAATATATGTCAAGGGCAAATATATAGTGATTTTATATGACATAAAAATATTAGCCAAAGCATATCATAAGATACTGTTTTGTGTATATTGAATAACGATAATGTCAGTGATGATGTTGGTAATATTATAATGAAAAGTTGTTTAAAATAATTACAGGACTTGATTTCTAGATTCCAAAGAAATTCTATATTAAGAATAAATAACAGCGTACAGTAACTGTTCATCCATCAGGAAACACTTAATACATTATTTATTAACTTTCCTAAGAGAGACCACATTAGGTAATTTAAAACTCCGACGATAGATGTTTTGGCAGGCCAAACTGATAATTTTCCCTTCAATTTAAGAATATTTTTAAAACATATAGTGATTTTAGTGCAAAATTTTACAGACTTCAAAATAATAGCCTATACATCAAAGCCAATGTTCTGTTTATACAGTGCTCCATATTGAATGCCAATTTAGTAGTAGAGTGTTAATGGTTGTATTTTTGTAATGGATATTTGGGTAGAACGAGCGCAGGACTTATGGCTACTAAAAAATGGTTTATTAAAAATGAATAACAGCATACAGAAATGTAAACCCATTCTACAACACTTGGGAAAAAACCTTCGGCCCTGTCACACCTTGACGATTTAGCCAGCGTATGTCGACGTATGAAAAAATGGCGAATACGCTAGCGTACGTCGAATGAGTTATTAGTAGGTTTCGTATAAGTATAAGCTGGTATACGTCCTAGTACGGCGAGTACGTCGAAACGTTTTGTGCATGCACAAAGTGTATGGCTCGTACGTTCCGCAAACGCGGCCATAAGTTGTAGGTAAGTTAAGCGATCGTTGACACACGTTGACACACGTTACTTGTAAGTTCCTCAAAAGTCAAAAAGTATTTCTAACCTATGAGTAACCTGCTTCGAACTTACATGTAACTTATAACGAACTTATCTCCAACGTATATTGACGTATGTAGACGTATTTGACGAGTTCTATACGACCACAAAACTTACTGAACGTGTTTCTAACTTACATTATCGTATAAATGGCCTATTGGCAGCGTTTATGGAAATAGGTATATAAAATGGGGTGATGTCAATACGGTGATGTTGATACTTCGATGTCTAGTGCGGTTATGATTTGAACCGACGAGCGGCAGCCTGTTTATAGGCTACGTCACGTAATAATCGGCGATACGCTGCCGCGCGCTGTGCATAGGGTAGACTATCGCTGGGCATAAGTTGTGAACGCCGGCAACACGCCATGAATTCGTTCGTGTAATTTTTTTATAAGTAATCAAAACGTTCTATATAATTTATTAATACATTATTTATACGTCCAATACGTTATGAATTCGCTATGAATGCGCCCAAAATTGAAAAAAAAGCATCGATAGTTCAGAGTATGCCAGCGTTTTAGAGAAATTTTGATACGTTCGGCATACGCTGACTAAATCGTCAAGGTGTGACAGGGCCATACATTTACTGTACCGATTCTTAATTCTCCTCTAAATAGTGATATTCAAAGGCCACTTTTACTGCCAGTCCTTAATTACAGGAATTCTAATTAGAAACCAAAGCTGCTAAAGACCACTAAAACCCTAGTCCCTACAATGGTATTTAATTAGAGCGAGACCTGTATCATAATGCTAAATTAATTTATATAAAACACATATTCCCATGCATTTATATACATAGTAAATATACATAATTAACTAAATATAATTATAGGTAGGTAATGCCTGCAATTTGAAACCTAATTGACAGTTACATTTAATTTAGTAAATTCACACCGGATTCAGAATTTAGTTGTCTTGCGGAAAATTGTTGCGGCAACCATCATTCAACTAAAAAACACAAAATTACAAAATGCAATATGATATCAATGCTATGGTACATACTATAAAATAAGATGATTAAAATATGGGGGAAACAGTTGAATTTTAAACGATAGTTGCGAATTTATTCACCATTAGTTTATTGGTACATTTGGTCCAACATGACTGATGTATATTTCGCAGTAGCACATTCGGCGCAGAATGTTTCGGTTTTCTTCAATCGCGGAATGCCAGAAACAAGAATCACTATTATGATGTTCAATATTATGAGTTATATTATAGTTACAGTGACAGTCGAGGTTGAATGTGTTTGCATCCTCAATCTCGTATCCAAATACAATTAGGATTTTCATGAATCTCCGTCTTAGGGAAGTGCTCTGCCATCTTTTCAATGAAAGGAAAGCTATATTATACTGTAGTAGTAACTAATGTCCTAGCACTTAACGATTGCAAACACTTTTGTCAGCCAATTAGAAAAATTATTAGAAAATACACGTGTTTCTAATAGCCAATAGATACTTGACAATAAATCTATTCATCTGGAAATCAGAAAGGCTTACTGGAGTCCAAATGTAAATGTATTGATTAATTTTAATTCTCGTTTGGTAAAGTAGTATAACAATGTAAAATGTATAAATACATAGCCAGTTAATAATAATAATTTTAAACATTTAAAACATGTTTGTGCCAAGAGTTCTTATAATAGAACCTAGGTTTTGTGAAATATTTGGACAATAAAAATCTCAATATATCTGTTTATATTAATAATAATTTAGAATCTTCAATAGTAGATGGTATCATTGAAATCCTTTATGAGTTTATTCAGATTTATTGCATATCTGCTGTCACACCGTCTATTTTGATAATGAGGGTAATAATGATAATGGAAATAAAAATGATAAAGTTAATTATAATAATATTGATAATGATAATAGTTAATAATGATATTAGTAAGTGACAGGGCCTACTGATAATAGTAATGGTAAGATAATAATAATGATAGTGTAAATGATCATAAGGATAAACTCTTACAGCAAAAGACTTGCACAAATTAATTGTGTATGTCTATTCACTTAAGCCTATATTAAGTAACTACCATTATTTTAAAATATTTTCATATTGATTTTTAAATTTACATTGTCTTACCAATTTAAGAAAAAATGACGGTGTCATAAAAACGAAGACCATAGGACTGGTAGCATTTCTAATGTAAAATCATTGAATTCTGCTTGGATAAAAACATTTTAAAAACTATTTGGTAAATTTTTATGCATGACAGAAGCATTAGTGTGAAACCCACAAAAAATCAGTTAGGCCTACCATATAAAATACACGTAAAACTTGTTACCTGTTGTTGCTGTTCTCGTTTTAAACTACGAGTCTGAGTATACAATCGACATAACTAATTATATGGTAGTATGACACCAGCTTACAAATACACAAAATATATTCAATTATTGTTTTGCCAAGTAACAATAATGTCAACATGTTATTCACCTACTGTATCTTAGATTATTTTAATGGGTTTTGTCACTCGTGTTTCTCGGAATACCCGTTTGCTGCAGTAAAATAAATTATTTACCATATTCATCTGGTTGATATCAATATTTGGACCAACTGTTGAGTAATACCCATCATAAGTAATTTCCGATCAAACAGTAAATGGGTTCGCGATAAAATCATATCATATCGTTTATTCTTTTATTGAAACATGTGTAAAATAATTTTTTTCATAATTGCCTTGCAAAACATTTTGTGTAACTGTGTCTAAAGGATTGGCAATTTCATAAATACTATTAATAAAGGTATGCACAATTTTTGTGAACATTATTGTCATTATATACCTCCTCTACACAAACTTATTATGAGGCTTAGAGAATAAAACTCTGATCCTCACAACCCTGGAATTGAAAACAAAGCGCCTAACATCTGAGCTACAGCTCTAATAATATTTAATATTTTATTTATTTCATTCCTGAAGACATATGTTTTAATGTGTCAAATTTCGATAGCAATATTCAATCTCCAACAAAATTATTATTAAAATATGAATGTAAAACCTTGTTAATTTTCATCAACGTTAGAACAGACATGGGTAGTGTACTGCTTGCAATAACACTTTCTACGAAGAATAGCTTGCGTTGAATTAACTCGATGCTCAACACTCCAATAACATTCACTTTTGCCATGGTCTTCCCGTGTATGATCATTGTGACGGCCACAGTTACAGTAAAGTTTTATGACATTTCCTGAGCACCAACCTTTTGCTAGTCTGAACTGCGCATGTCCGTATCCAAGCTCAATCGACATAAACTTACGTTGTGTATGTGGTGTATATTTGTTTATGTTTATTGACTTAGCACAGTTAAGACTAGGAACAGGTTTATTACTTTAATGATTGGTAAAATAAATAACTAAATTTAATATGCAAAAAACTCGATAGTATTATTCGGTCTCCACAAAAACCAATTGTCAAAATATGACTATAAAACCTTAATCATTTTCATTGATATATGAAGCGACATGGGTTCTGTACTTTCTACAGTAGCCCTGCCTACATTTTTTTTTCCATTGGGCCACGTCGAAGCTCAATACTCCAATAACAATTCAGTTGTTTCAGATAATGATCATTTTTAGGTACACACTTACAAGACAGTTTGATTGTTTTGTTGTAGATTCTCTTCCATTTGCATGTTTTGTGATAATGAAGTTCCGTCATTGAATACTCCATTTTCTGCTCAAAATAATTTAGTTCTGAATGAAAACGTCAGTAGGTTCAACAGTGAACCAACGAACTGTCTAATAGTCATATGTTGGCTTGTAATACTAGAAGGTATTTAGCATATCAATGGTACAGCTCATTTTCTAAGCAAAACATGAGTAATCACATACCTTAATATGGTATGAATTTTATCAATTATTGAAAGGTTTAAAACACACCCAATGAAACAGATTTCAAAGTAACGAACTTGGTCTATTGGCAAAAAGCAATACTCTACATATCAAAATCAATGCCTACATTATTTATTTAGCCATCGATAAGTGACAACAGTATATTTTTTTAACCTAATAAATCTAATAATTACACTTGTATTGCGATTTAAGATTGACTATCTTGTAGCATGAAAATAAAGAAACAATAAATGCCATATTGTATAATCGTACAATTTGTATAATGGCTTTAATGAATTAAGTAATTGAATAATATATTTTAAACTAAAGTTTATGCATATTTATTTAACATTTATTTATAAAAACAATCATTAAAAATATTTATTATTAACTCTAAATTTCTTTTGCACGCAAAATCTAAAATAAATGCTTTCGCTTAAAGTGAACATTGTCACTTATATAATAATTCTAAATTTGTTGATGTTTTCTAAATTCCAATAATGAGTAATGTTGCTGCGATTAGACTATTTAACTTATACCTATTTCAATTTAGATTATTAAATACTTTATCATAAATTATATATTTACCTATATATATGGTATTAATTAGATGCATAGGTACTTTTGTCACTCAAAATGTTGTACCATTTAAAAAGTCTTCATTTTGTTTGACCAAATTTATTCACCAACATTTAATAATTTATTAACTTTATTATGATTTTACTAGAATTTTAAATGTGCTACCAAGATGCATAATTCACACAAATGTCAAACATACAAATATTGTGTCAAATATTTCAAAATGGTAACAGCTCGAATATACCTTAATTAATTGGAGGTGTCGGACCTACTTTTCTGATGTACTCTCCGCAATAGCAAAACCTTCGCAGAATGTATTTGTTTTCACCATCAAACCTACGCCAGTAACATCTTGTTCTAGTATGTATTTCAAAGTCATTATCATTTTTAGCATTACATAAACAAATAAGAAAGATCACTTTTTTGTCGTTACGAGATTTTTTCCATCTGCATCCGTCATTATAATGAGCATGTATATCAGAATAATCCATTTCTTACTATATTTATGTAAGGCAGCTTAACAATCAAACCCCTCAGCAAATCAACAGCGAATCGACAAAACGTCTACTGTACGACTAAAGAGTCACACATTGGATAATATTAGGCTTGTGTGTAATTACCATATCAATAGTACCGTTCATTTTGTAAACACAATATTGTTGGTGCATGTACTTTATGTATAATTTTTTTTTTTTTTTTAGATTAAATAAAAACACACTAAACCAGATATTCTGACTCAACGGACTTTATGCCTAAAATCATATTATAAAGGGAACAAGATTTTAGATTACCACAACATAACAAAATAATTCACTTGATTTAAGGGCGTATTTCGCCTGACTGATTGGGCAGGGTAATAAATCAAGATTCCTTTTACTAGCACTACATGGACTTTTAGGTAAAATTAGATTATTAATTATTGATGAGGAACGTGTTCTGTAGATAAATTATCAATTATATTTAGTTTAGGTCAGTATACCTACGGTTTAATAAACGACTCAAGCTAATATTCCTGGAATTCAAACTATTGATTGATTGATTGATTGATTGATTGATTGATTTGTTGATGATTTACCATAGCAATAATAATAAACAACGGTATTCTTTACAGAAAATATGTTTATTAACTTGCATTAATGATAATCTCAATATATTCAGTTAATTTGAGAACTCCCCCGGGAAAATTTTATTCCTAGAGCGCGGGAAATGGGCTTTCAAGATTTTTGAGCTAGGTGTCTTTTAATGACTTCCCCTGGGAAAATGTTGATTTCTAAATGGCGAAAAATGAGCTTTCCTGACTTCTGAAGTGCCTTTTAATGACTTTTAAGTTCTTCAAATTTAAGGTTTTTCCCTCTTGACTGTCAGGTAAATATTTTCTTATTCTTATTACAGTAAAAGGCCTTATGTGTGTATACATACATGGCAAAATGCAGTAGTTGCATACTTATTCTTTCTTCCATGAATCGATAAATCCCAAAAAGAAAGGGGGGTCAGGGGTTCTCCCCGGGACAATTTTGATTCCTAGATGGCGGAAAATGAACATTCCCGACTTCTGAGGTGTCTTTTTTAATGGCAGGAAATGAGCTTTCCCGACTTATGACATGCCTTTTAATGACTTTTAAGTTCTTCACAATTCAAGTATTTCCCCCTTGAAGACGGCCAGGTAAATTTGTCTCATTCTTATTACAGTAAACAGGCCTATTATATGTGTACCGAATACCTCCGCTTACGTATTTTTTTTTCATTAATCGATAAACCCCAAAAATAAAATGGGGTCGGGGGTACTCCGTAGAGAAAAGCTGGATCCTTAGATGGTGGGAAATTATCTTCCCGACATCTAATTTTCTTTTTATAACAAAAAAATTTACTTCAGGGGTCCTGAAAATGTAGGTCTGGAAATTGTGTGTCTTTTTTTGCCCAAGGGAGGAGGTCAGGACCCCTGACTACCAGATTCGTCAATGTGAATTGCGAGAACAAAATGTAAATCTGTCGGGGGACTGGATGAACACTCCTTTTCCCCTCACTCTCCTGCTTCTTCCCTCTTTCTTTTCTAAAATAAATACTGTTTGTGCAAGGTTAGCATTTTTATTTATTCAGAAATAAGATTACGAATACGTATTTGTGGTTCTACAAAAAAAAACTGCGTGTTTATCATAACGTAAAATTGTTAGCTTGATAACGATGGTCAGGCGCGCTGTATAAGGTAAACATGCCATTAATCTACTTTTCTTTTTCCGTTCTTGCAGAATGTGTAGTATTTGTTTAATCTTAGTATGCTTGAAAATAAACTACGTTTTCTCCTCGAGGTTGATTTGAAAATTGTTATTATAGTTTGTTTATATAGTTTTATATATATTATATTATATTTCTGTATATATGATATATATTTCATTCGTGTTCCACGTGTGTTCAGACAGAATAGAGGGGGAAAATGAAAAACGACTTTAATAGTAGACTTTAAGAACACTGGTTTATTAATAACTCGGATATTTCTGATATTGAAGGAAGTCGCAGGTTCGAATCCCGGCGGAGGCATTTTATTACACAATGATTTTTTATAGGACTTTATTCGTTGAAAAGCTACAGGATAGCCTACGATGTTCCATCATGTCCTTATTAAACACTGTATATGTACCTTTGATGATTTATATCGGATCTTATACACATCTAGATGTGTATAAGAGACAGGATTATGCCTACATGCTATGGTAATCGGTTCCATTCTCTAACCTGTGAAGTGTATTTGCCCCATAAATTGCTATTTACAACGTGAAGGAAAAAAATCAAAATAAGGTCTAGTACCATTTGATCAAAATTTTAAATTTACCTTTTTTGGTATACGGAACGAATATTTTTTTTTATAGGCCTACACATAATCTTAAGTATGTCGTTAAACGTGAACAATGAACTTTTTTAAAATTGTCTAAATAATAACAACGAAAAATGTTGCTGCAATAAAATGATTTACTGATACAAATTTAGATGTGGATATGAAGTATTTGTTTATAAGCCTACTAATTTGCAGTGTCAGATTCAAAGGGAGCCCAACCGACCAGAGACCCCTATTTTTTTTAAATTAAGGAAATTAAAAGAAAAAATTATATTATATTATATTATGATGCCATAATCATAAATTCCCTTACCCCAAGCCCCAACCATGGTGGGGCTGAGGTGGTTTACACCCTCTATCTGTAAAAAGACCGTCCCCGAGACCCGTTATTTCCAATTTCTGGATCCGCCACTATAAGTTTGCTTCACAAATAAAAGTTGATGTATTAAATAATGATAAACGAACCTTATATGTACTGTATTTGAAAGTATATTACCTTAAATGGGTTGAGTCTCTAAATAAAATCATAAACGTTGTTGAAAAACTATTTTAATATGTTCATTTATCAAAATATATGGAAATAAATAAATGCAAAATGTCATGGTAATAATCATTATTAGCAAAATCTAATGATAAGAATGTAACGGTCACCTTGTTAATTCTATTCAATATTTGAACCAACATGGGTACTGTACTGGTTACAATGGCACTGCCTACGGAGAATCTTTTTTGTTGGTTCCCGTCGGTGCTCAATACTCCAGTAACATTTTCGTTGGTTATGCTTTTCACGGTTATGTTCACTTTCAAGGTCACACTTACAATCCAGTTTCATTTTTTTTCGATTGAAACAATTTCGTTTCCAATTACATCTTTTATCAGAATGAATTTCCGTCTTCGGATATTCCATGTTGTTGCTTGATATAATGCAATTCCGAGTATTAAACTTTTGTAAAGTTAACAGCAAATCGTCAAACCAACTTACTACTTGTATATAACACTCGTAGTTTGGCTTTTAAATAGACTTGGTGATTATCATATCTATGTCATGGCTCATTATTTTGTATGTAAATCAGTGTAAGTAATTGTATAAACCTACTTGCGTATGATGTAAATGTATTTCTAAGCAACCAACCTTGTCCATTGGTATATTTAACCAATAACACAACAGTTTAGTGGAGTATATAAAGATTCAGGACTCCGGATTATTATCAATAATGGCATTAACACAAATATAGTCAGCAGTACCTTGTTTGTTAATGAATCTGCTAGTTAACTTTGCTTTGAATTGTCAAATCTAATGATCTTAAAAGGTTATTTAAGATTTTTATTGATTTGTACTCAAACGATAACATTGAGAAAATGCAATAATGCAACATGTATTTAAAGTACAAATTTCGTATAGTAATTGAATCATAACGTTATTATAGGTAACATTTTATTGAATTTCATTGATTTAAGATAGTATAATACATACTCCAAGTATTTGGAGTTTGTATTATACTATCTTATCTGAGATTAATCAGTGGACCTTACGGTCATTGATTTAAATTCATCGAAATGCAGCAACTTTACTCAATTTCAAGTTCATAAATTTTAAATATATATTAAAATAATTAAACAATAATAAAATCAATTTGCTCAGAAATCCTTCAGTCAATTATTATTATTGATATTACGGAGCACCGTATAAGGTAAGCATACCACGGTTCCATTGGTTATTTCCGTTTAATTCAAAATACTTTCTGGGAAAAACCAGTTCTAGTAGCATTTATGTCGAAGTTCCATAATTTATTTTTTATCAGGTTTTGTAATCGTAAGTTCTATACATGCATAATATAAAGAAACTCTTTCACATAAAATGAACATTGTTACTTATTACATTATATAATAATTCTAAATTTGTTAAAGTTGTTTACATTCTATTAATGAGTAATGATGCTGCAATTTTACATATATACGTTTTTCAATTTAGATAATAATTATACAATATATAT